AGGTGCTTGTCCCAACAGAGGTAGATCGGAACTGTATTATAGCGCTGAATTAGACAGAATACATGATAAACTTAAGAAGGTAGTCATTTCATATAAGCATTTTATCTCTGCATTTTCTGTAATTTGCTTTGTCAAATTTCACTGCCTTGAAAACACGTTCCTATCTCTGATTTGTGAATATACGATGAATTTATAAATATGAATTTTGACACTGAGATGTTGTCAAATGAATAATTTTAGAAAAATTGAAAACATATTATTGCATGACTTTACCTTCTTAATTCTATCATGACAGAATACCACAAACGTTTGCAAAAATTCCCGAATTTCATTGAAATCCAATGGAAACCACTTTTAAAAACAAACCAAATAACATTTAATACAATGCATTCAGTAGAACTTCCGCCAATATATCAATATATCATATATACCTTAGAGCCGTTACAATGCATTTGAAGTACTGTACCGGCAACTTGAGTGGCAACTATCATTTTCAAATAATTAAATAATATTGTAACAGCAAGTGTAACAACAGTGTATTAATTATGTACATACTTACATGTATGCATGATACTTGTATGAATACATATTTACCCATTGACAATTTTCACTGGAAATATGTTCATGGTAAATTATGTCAATCATTTAACCGATTTCTTTGGTTAAGTTAGAAAATCGATCAGTGTTTATGATGAGGGACACAGAAGATGAATGTTGCTACATTGAAAGAAAAGAATGCTATTTGCGAAAATTTTATACCCTCCACCATGCATAGTATGGAGTGTATATTAAGTTCGTCATTAATTTTGTAACCCATCGAAATAATCAATTTAGACCTAACAAAGTATATATTTTTGATCACCGTAAAATTCTAAGAAGGTTTAGCCCTGTCCGTCCGTCCGTCTGTTGTAATCACAAATTAAGTCAAACGAATTAAGATAGGAAGCTAAAATTTTCACACTTCAGTCTTCTTAGACAATTCTCTGTGTAGGCAGGTCAAGATGGGCCATATCGGTCCACGATATCGTATGGGCCCCATGTAACTGTACCCCCCAATATTTTGATGATTTCAGGCACTTCTTACAATGGAATTGTCTGAAATTCTACAGAAGGAGTTCTTTGTGGGTAATTTACCTCCTGAAAGAGAATTGTCTATATAGGTCCACGATATCGTGTATCCCCCACATAACGGTACCTCCCAATAATCGGTATTCTGATTATTTTAGCCACATTTTTCAATGGAATTGTCTCAAAATCCGCACAAGGAGTTCCTTCTAAATACTTTACCCTCTGGAACAGAATTATCCACGATGCCGTATATCCTCCATAAAACAGCACCTCCCAATATTCGATATTTGGATGATTGTAGCCATATTTTTCAATTGAATTGTCTGAAAATCCACACAAGCAGTTCCTTCTGAATACCTTTCTCCCTGGAAGAGAATTGTCTATATAGGGCCACGATATCGTATAGCCCCCATTTTACTGTTTACCCTATTTTTTACGATATTAGCAACATTATTCAATAGAATTGTTTCAAATTTCGTATTTGATATTCGTCTTCTTATATCCTCCATATAACGGTTTTCATTTAACTGGTATTTTTCGACGGATTTTTTTAATTATTCAAGATCTTTCAAAATGGTGGAGGGTATTAAAATTTCAGCCTGGCCGAACTTAGCTGCTTTTTTACCTGTTTTTTTTTTTCTAACCTACACCACAAGATGGTCAGTTTATCATGTCTTTGTGCATTTGTTTGTAACAGGCAAAAGGAAACGAGATATACCCATAGTTCCTTTTGATGATCTGCATAGAATCACATTCTGAGTCGATTTATGCATGTCCGTCCGTCCGTCTGTCCATATATTTTTGTGAACAAAGTACAGTTCGCATTTATTACCCGATCCAGATGAAATTTTGCACAAATCATTTGTTTGGCCAAAGGACGAACCCTATTGAAATTGGAGATAATCGGTCAAAACTTAGATATGGTTCCCATATATATCTTCATCCGATTTGCCTTTTTATTGTGCACCAAACGTGTAATATCAGCCCGAATAGTATGGAATTATTCACATACAACCAAATTAGGCCTAAAAATAAGTATGCCAAATTCGATCGAAATCGGTTCAGATATAGCTATAACTCAAATATATATTGTTCATCGAATTTGTTATTTTAGTCCTCCGCAGCCATAATATGCACTCTGTAACAACAATATTTGGGGAAATATATCAAATACAGCTCAGAAATACCGTTGGTAAATTTTATCGAAATCGGTTCGGATTTGGTTATATCTCTCACATATAACTTCGTCCGATGTACCTTTTATTGTGCACCAAACGTCTTATTTTTGCCCAAATGATTCTATAAGCTAGTATGCCAAATTTGGCGAAGATCGGTTCAGATATAGCTATAGCTCCCATATATATTTTTCATCCGATTTGTTATATTTGTTACCCGCAGCCATAATATGCACTCCGTAAAAACGATATTCAGGGAAATATATAAAATACAGCTCAAAGTGGAGTAGGGTATCATAAAGACGGTCCCGCCCGACTTTAAGACTTTCTTTACTGGTTATGTATTGTATTTCATTTGCGTTGAATTATTCATAACTTCGTCAGTAGTTGGATAATCACCATGCTGCAGAGTAGTGTCATAAATGATACAATGGAAAATAAATCGAAGATCTCCACAGTGAGGGATTATGTTGCCATTGCTTTGGTTCCTCGTCATTAATGAAAACCTAAGCAATTTCGACCACATTGGGATAAAAGTGGTTTCTTATGCGGACGATGTGGTAATACCCGTATCTGATTTTTCCCGTCCGTGCTGAATGACAACATGAGCGGAGCCTTGAAATCATTGGATATTTGGGCCACAAGAAGTGATCTGGGGTGATTCCAGGGTGATATTTAGTACAAAAACCAAATACGCAATCACTAATTTTTAACGTTACGAGGCCAAGAAATGCCAGTATTATATCACGGCTCGAAACTGTCATGGTAACGTAACATGGAACATCGTGCTCATAAAGCCCGTAAGGACCTCAAACGCAAAATGGAGTTTTGGATATGCCCCAGCAACAGATATAGAGCAACAGTGGGAAAGAAAAGAATTCATGAAGGACAATACAGGCCACACCCGTATGCATCGGGATGATATGGGCATATACAATGGTGTATATTCTATCAATTGATATACACATCATGCTGCCTGCTCTAGGATTAGTACATTTCAGATGCTTACAAAGAGATCAATATCAAATAAGAAGATTTCAGCCTAACTCCTTCAACAAATACCAAATATAGTACCATTAGCACTTTTCGTACAATTATAATACACTTTTTTAAGAAATACAAATACATGAGTTAGAAAACTGCAACAAAGTCAAACGCCAAAATTTTTACATTTTACAATTGGTCACCTTTGGCACGAATTATGGCCTTCAAACGGCGAAGCGCTTGATTGTGGTGATCGACACTTTGGTATTTTTTAGTGCCAACCTTGCTTGCTCAAAATACTCCAGACACAATAGTCCAACGGATTTATATCCGGAGATTTTGGAGGCCATTGTGCGCTGGAAATGAAGCGAGGAACCTCATTTTGTATCCATTCTTGGGTGCGTCTTCGGCCACAATATTTGCGTGTCAAGGCTTAATATACCCTCCAGAATATTTTCGCGATAATATTCGTCAATTATTGTGAATCCATGGTCGGTAAATACAAGTGGCCAGCGCTTGAGTTCCGGTGGCCAACCGAAGGTGACTGACCTCTTTGGCAAGTAAACACGATCATTTTTTTGTTTACAAACTGCTGGACAACGAATGTTTTCTCATCGGAGAAAACCAAATTCGGCAGTTCACCACTTTCGGCCAAGCGAAGCAACTCTTTAGCTCTTTTGAGTCTATTTTCTTTGCGTTGCGGTGTAAGTTCTTGCACTTCTTGGAATTTCAAAGGCTATACCCCAAGCTCATTTTTCAATATTTGCCGAATGGAATATTGAGATATATTCAACTCACGAGCCATTTTTCGGCCACTGCGACGCAATTTTCGATCAAGTCGTTTCTTTACATTTCGAACCATTTCTGCTGAGGTTGCTGTTTTCTTCCGTCCATTTCCTTGACATCGGGCTAAGCTACCAGTATCACGGTAATGAGCGATAGTACGAGACACAAAAGATTTATTCACATTTAAATGCTGAAGTGCTCTAACGGGAACCACTTGTGGTTTTCCAGCTAAATATAAAGAAATCACACTATCACGCTTGAATACCGTTACGAATAACTTGTTTTCTGGAAAATTCTCACAGAAATGTTTTTGTACGCTTGTAAACAATATAATGAGCTACCACTAGAATAATGTTAAGAGCTGTCGGACGAGTGGTTTAGATATTACAGCGGTCTGAAGATGGTTGCAGTTTTTTAATTTCACTTTGTTTTAATCTTTTTTTCCAATCTTGAATCTTATACCAAATTTAAAGTTTGAAACTCTATCCATTCACTTAATACCAAATGGTAACAAATGTAGTACATTTTCGTACTTTTATACACTTTTAGTGCGAATATTAAAAGTCCTTTGGTATATCCTTCATTCACTCCATCAGTGACCCTCATTCCAATTTTCTAGCTCTACTGGCTCGTCAAATACAAAAGGTACCATATTTTGTATCTTTTCGTACCGTTCTAGTACGTATTTTCAAATAGGGACTCTTTGTTTGTAATAGCCAAGCTTAACTCTTCCCTCAGCTTTTTTCTTTCTGTAACTTGATTGCTTATCACTATTTGAGTAGTGACTGAGCTTCCGAGCTATGTCGAAATTTTACTAATTTTCTGCCCTTTATATTGACATTCTCTTTCTCTGCTTTTGAATTGCAATAATAATTAACAGCTGGATGTTGCAATTTTAGTTTTTTTTTTTGTTTTTTTTGTAGTGTAGCTACTTGATCCATAAACGTACTCAAAAGCCCTTATCTTTAACTTTATCACAACGATTGCGATCCGTTGTCGTATTGAGAACCTAATGCGTTCATATAAAAGCAAGCGCTAGGTGAACCTTGCAATCATTCTATTACAACATTCGAAAGAAGTGGACAATTAGAAATAAAAAAATAACAATGAAATTGCCAATTGTTTTGCTAGCAATTGTGGGACTGAGTGTAAGTTTAGCGACAAAGATCGTGAAAAGAAGAAATATTTGTGAAATCAATTATTGGTAATCTTTGCAGCTGGTCTCCGCCTCAAAATCCCCCGAAGAAGTCCAGGCCGAAGTCATGGCCTATGTTCAGACACAAGTCTCTTCGTTGCTGAGATCGCCAGCCATTGCTCGAGCTGGTGGTGGTTTGGCCTGTTACGATAAATATATTCCCCTGATAACCGCTGCCACCGAGGATTCCAAAAGTGACACAGCATCGTGTGTGAATAGAGCTGCATCACGTCGTGAGGATGAACTGAATAAGGTTAAGGCCCAACGGGAAGCACTGGATCAACAAGTAAAGACGGTACAGGATACATTGGCTTCGTGTGTCAAACAGGACGATGTTCTAGGTTTTCTAACATGCTTTAGGGACAATGTAAGTTTAACAGCCGTACAAATGAGTTTTTGATTTTCAATGTTTTGTTTTTCGCCTCTTTAGTCTCAAGTTCTACAAAGTACCGTCACCCAGGTCAGTTTGACATCCACTTCATTGGCCAACGGTTTATCGGCTGCTTACGTTAGCATTAACACTTCCGAAGATTCGTGCATACAAACGGTATTGGACAAGGTTAAGGCCGATACTGATGCCTTGACAGTGGCCTTACAAAATTGCTTGAAAAACGGATTTGATGATGGTCAGCCGGAGACTAGTAGTCCACCCTCAGATTCGTCGTCTTCTTCTCCGGTAGAACCCCAAACCACCGTACCAAGTAATTTCAATATGCCCAATGATGAGCTGTTACCCGAAGAAAATCTTTAAATCTATTTCATGCTTAACATGAAGTGTTTTATCAAATTACAAACAAATTTAAACAATAAATATTAAATACATATTTTTTTTAGATTTTTTTCATTCTGAAGTGTTTTGTTAATTTTGTGAAATTGAGTGTGGAACTGTTACAAATTGGCGCCAAAACTCATTCATATTTGTTTTGAGTTTTGAAAACACTTGTGAAGGTAATTGCTGCCATGACGTCAATTTCAAGATGACGAATTCATTTGTTTGCTTTTGTTACAAGATATCTATATATATAAATGAAAGTTGTGTTAGTTACTACGCTTATAACTTAAGAACCGCTGAACTGATTTTAATGATTCATACAAATTCGGAATTGTCTCCTATCCGAAAAGGATAATATACAAAAAAAATCACGAAAAATATGTTATATTAACATTTTCATTTTGACTTTTGAAATGTACAATAGTAATGTTTTATTTTGCATGATTTTTTCCATTTTGACTTACTTTTTTCTAATGTACATTTGTAGTGTTTTTTATATTTTATTTTTGAATTCGAATATTAATATCAATTTCTTTAATTGACTTGATTTCTTGAGAACTGAAATTGATGACGGGTTACATGGAAGTGTAGTACCGAATTATGTGGTGGCGAAACGGAATAGATGATATCGAAATAATTTAACGCGGTCACACCAAAGTTAAAAGATAATAACCTTTTCAAAATCGCTAAAAAAAATTACGAAAAAAGAGATCTCATTACAAAAATTCTCAAAAAATGAAATAAGTGCGAAATACGATTGTACGTCCTGGAGTTGAAAGGTAGATGTCAGTACCTTTCAACTCCAGGGCCTACATCGTGGTTCAGCTGGAAGATGCGAAGACATTTAAACAAACAAAAATGACCGAAAAAGACTAATGGGGCTCATTTTAAAGCGTGGACCTACTTCTTTCATGTGACAATAATCCGTCCAATGAGAGCTCAAAATGCAAAAATTTTTGGGACTACAATCAGTAAAGTACCAAATATAAAGGGTGCAAAATAGTAGAGCGAATGGGATTTTTAGTAAGAAAAGGATTTCTCTCCTTCCAAAAATTCCTCCCGAACATTTAAGATACCTTAAATCGCTTTTGCATGACCTGCAATATGATATATGATATCGATCATAAATAACCATTGTATGATTTAAGCTATTTTTGGAGTCTTCGTCATTTTCTTCTATTTTTGGCCCTTAGTTGGGATCTTTGTTTCTAAGGGAGTAGAAAATTCTCGGAGTAGGGCCCATATTGGTCTTGACCACTAAAAAATTGTATTTATGCTACCCTGGGATAAGGAACCATCGTACAGATAATTGCCACATAGAAATTTATTCATGTAAAGTCCCCACATTGGAGTATCCCCAAGTCCACTTTCACATCTAATGTGTGGTCAGAAAAGAAAATTTTGTATTCTATTGAATTTGTAACCCCCAAGAGAATATTGGTTGAGAACGTAGATTTGGGATTTACATCTATATCAAATAAATTGTGAAAACATGAACAAATTACAAATATAAGAAAGTAGCACGGGACCGAATATTTGTTGAATCGTCATTGAATTATATTATGATGAAAAATATGGACTTTACGGGGTCTCCAATTTACAATTTAAATGACAAATAAAATTAGTTCCCATCTTACGGTAATGGGAGTAAAATAGTAATTATATTTGACTATCCTGAAATCAGTCTGCCCTCAATTATGAGATGGATAAAATTATTTTTACTTATTGAAATCACGTGAATTTTTTTCAGTTTGACATGCTGTGTTGTTCTGCTATTTTTTGGATTTGGCCTCTATTTGTCATCTTGGATTATAAGGGGTAGAAGAAAGTTTTCAATGTAGTTCGATGTTTCGCAGTAGTGCCCATATGAAGGTACTTCCTGATTTTACCTTATTTCAAAGGATTTGGCTAAAAATGTGTATTTGAGGGGGGGGTGAAAATCTTACACAAAAATTTTAACATATCTACAAATTTTAGAATTTTCTCCATGTAATAGTACCCCTTTCAAGTCCACCTTTTGGCGGACTTATGAGGACTCTAATGCACAATCGGAGGTGTTAATGGGTTTAAAAAAGTAATTAACTTTGGATATTCTTAAATCATTCAGCCCTCAATTATGAGGTGTACAAAATACAGTAAATTCCAAATTACTGCTCATTTGACTAAAAATTAAAAATTAATCGACCAGTACATGAACATTTATAACAGTCATATCTTTGAATAATTATGCTTTGACAAATATGCATAATAGACTAAAACTACGGGCCGGCAACGCGGACAGGGTCAGCTAGTTATAAATATTTTGTAAAAATTAATTATTTACAAAGCACTTTGTCCGCGAGAGAAATTAAGAGGCTCACAAAGGTAAATGAAAAAAAAAAAAAAAACAAATAGCGGGAGACAGCTGTTTTCTTGTGAGATTTTATTGAGTACGGAGAAAAATGTTAGTTCGTCTGTGGAGACGAGTTTCTGCTCGTCTATGGAGGCGAGTGTCGGCTCGTCTATGGAGGCGAGTTTCTGCTCGTCTGTGGAGACGAGTTTCGGCTCATCTATGGAGACGAGTTTCAGTACGTCTAGAGAGAAGAGTATCAGCACGTCAAACCCTTCTAAGGAGACAAGTGTCAGCAAGTCGTTGGAGACAAGTTTTGAGCACGTCTATGGAGACAAGTTTCAACATGTCTATGGAAACGACTTTCAATTCGTCTCTAGAGACGAGTTTCGGCTTGCCTATGGAGATGAGTTTCAGCTCGCTTACGGAGATGAGTTTAAGCTCGTCTATAGATACAACTCTGTCGATAGTCTATACAGGGTGAGATGAAAAAACTACAACTAACTTCAGACTGCTGTCATTTCTAAGCCACTCGTCCGACAGCTGTTAAAGTTATTCCAGTGACAGCTCAATATATTGATTACAAGCGTATAGAAGCATTTTGGTGAGAATTTTCCAGAAAAATGTTATTCGTAATGGAATTAAAGCGTGATAGTGCAATTCTTTGTATTGATCTGGAAAACCACAAGTGGCTATCCTTAGACAACTTCAGCATTTAAATGTGAATAAATCTTTTGTGTTTCGTACCATCGCTCGTTACCGTGATACTGGTAGCGTAGCCCGACGTCAAGGAAATGGACGGAAGAAAACAGCAGAAAATATCGGAAATAGCATCAAATTTTAGAATTTGTTGTGTTTAGATTTGTTCGAATTGGTCACCTTTGGCACGAATTATGGCCATCAAACGGCCAATGAAATCGTCATACTCTGCCCGAATGTTGCTTTGCGGTATTTTGATCCATTCCCGGCGAAGCGCTTGCTTGAAGTGATCAACACTTTTGTATTTTTTATTGCCAACCTTTTTGGTGGCCATTGTGCGCTGTAAATGAAGCGAGGAACCTCATATTGTTACCATTCTTGGTTGGCGCGTGCTGAGTGCGATGGTGCTGAGTCCTGTTGGAATGTCCAAGATCTGCGGCCAAAATGTTTGCGTGTCCTCCAGAATATTTTCTCGATAATTGTCGATATTTTCTCTGCAACGAATGTTTTGTCATCGGAGAAAACCAAATCGGGCAGTTCACCTCTTTCGGCCAAGCCGTGTAAGTTCTTGCACTTCTTGGAATTTCAATGACTTTACCATGAGCTCATTTTTCAATATTTGCCGAATGGAATATTGCGGTATGTTCAAATCACGAGCCATTTTTCGGCCACTGCGAAGCAGGTTTCGATCAAGTCGCTTCTTTACTTTTCAAACCATTTTTGCTGATGTTGCTGTTTTCTTCCGTCCACTTCCTTGACGTCAGGCTACGCTACCGACGCGATGGTACGAGGCATTAAAGATTAAATGTTGGAGTGCTCTAACGATAGCCACTTGTGGTTTTCCAGCCAAATAAAAGACACTATCACGCTTGAATTCCATCACGAATAAATTTTTATTTTGGAAAATTCTCAACAAAGTGCTTTGGTGCGCTTGTACACAATATAATGGGCTGTCACCGGAATAATTTTAACAGCTGTCGGACGAGTGGCTTAGAGATGACAGCAGTCTGAAGTTGGTTGCAGTTTGTTCATCTCACCCTGTAGATACGATTTTAAACTCTTCTATGGACACGACTTTCAGCTCGTCAATTGAGGCGACTTTCAGCACCTCTATGGAGACGAGTTTCGTCTCGTCTATGGATACGAGTTTCGGCTCGCATATGGATATGAGTTTCTGCTCGTCTATGGAGATGAGTTTCGGCTCGTCTATGGAGGCGACTCTCGTTAGTCTATAGAGATGATATAAACTAAGGTGGTTAATAGAGCAAAAAGTAAGTTTTAATACCCTCCACCATTGAAGGTATATTAACTTTGTCATTCCGTTTGTAACTCCTCGAAATATTTATAATAGACTATCCAAAGTATATATATTCTGGATAAGCGTGAAATTCTAAGACGATCTAGCGCTGTCCGTCTGTCTGTCTGTTGTAATCACACTATCTTTCGAACGAATTGAGATAGAAGCCTAAAATTTTGCATACATGCATAGTTTACCAGTAGGCAGGATAAGTTCGTAAATGGACAATGTCGGTCCACGTTTTCGTATAGCTCCCATTTAACGGTACCTTCCGATATTCGGCATTTTTATGATTTTAGGGACAGTATTTACCGGAACCATTTCAAATTTCATATTTAATTTCGTAATGGGAACTACAGCTTATAACAAACTTTTTTGTATGTAGGTTCAGGTCTTCGTGTAGCCTCCATATAACGGTAGCTCTGGATATTCGGTATTTTGATGATTTCAGCAACATTATTCACCGGAATCGTTTTAAATTTCGTACTGGAAGATCGTAATGGGTACTTCAAAGTAAGGAAAAAATTTTGTATGCAGGTCCACGTCTTCGTATAGCCCCTATATAACGGTACCTCCCGATATGCGGTATTTTCATGATTTTAGCGACATTATTTACCAGAATTATTTCAAATTTCGTATTTGAAGTTCGTAATGGGTGCTACAGGCTATGACAGGTCCACGTCTTCGTGTAGTCCCCATATGTCGGCACCTCTCAATACTTAGTATTT